GACGTCCTGAGAGGCCAGGACACGCCGCGAGGTGGGGTGGTAGAACTGCCAACCAGGGGCGTCCGGGACAAAGCCAAGGAAGACGCAGGGGACAGCGCGACGGGAGAGCTTGTCCGCGGACGTGTCGCGGACAAAAGCTCGGGATCCCCAGACCCGAAAACGCGACGCATTGCCAGCCTCTCCCGTCCAACGTAGTGTCGGAGAAGTCTCGGGCAAGGAGACACGGGGCCAGAGGTTGAGCTGATGCGCAGCGTATCGGACTGCAAACGGCCACAGAAAGTGGGGGGCAGCCGCATGAACCAAGGAGGTACGAGCGACCTCCATGACCAAGCCAATGCGGCGCTCAGCAACCCCATTCTGCTGTGGAGAGGCCGGAAGCGTGAACGACTGCTCAATGCCCTCCTGCTGACAGAAGGCCTCCAAGAGGCCAGAGGAAAACTCTCCACCTCTGTCAGAGTGCAGACGCAGGACAGGGAAGTCGGAGCGGAAACGCTCACTGAGCTGGAGACGAGATCTGCGGATCCAAGGGATCAAGACATCAACCCGCTTCTGGATCAGGTTTAAGTGGGGTCCTATGCGTTCTGCTTCGTCGGTGTTGACTTGCGCGGGTGTAACGTAACCATTGTCGGCGAGGTCGTAGTAGACTTCGGCGTTGATGCTTTCGCGAGGGTTTTCGTCGTCCATTGGGACGTCAACCGAACAGTAGGGAAGGGGTCCGGCTTCTTCCGATGCTCCGTCCACGTTTTGTTCGTCCCAGTCAGCTTCGTCTGCTGCTGAGGCGAATGCTCGATTGCCACGAAATCCGTCTGTGGGGTCTTGGTTCGCCCGCAGGTTGGCCAGGTACGTGTGGAGGGTGAGCCGCTCGCAGAAGATAACGTCACGTGCTGCCACTGTTTCTTTCGAGTGGACATCAAATATCTTCCACGCGTTGTAATGTTTCTCGATGCCCAGGTGTAGTCCCCACTGTGCACGTTGCGAAAATCTTCCGGCTCGTGCAGTGTGTGGTCGGTACTGTACCATGCAGCCAAAAACTCGTAACATTTTTGTGTTGCCCAATTTCCCTGTCCACAGCAGATGCGGTGAGGCGTTGTTCGGGAGTGATGACGACGAGAGCAGGTTGTGCAGCATCACTGCATGGTCCATTGCTTCGGGCCACTGGTGGTTGGGTAGCAGCATGCCACGTAGCAGTTTGCGCATGGTGGTCTGGAGTGTCCTGTTCATCCTTTCTGCTACGCCTTGTTGTTGATGGGCGTAGGGGAGAGAGATGAGTCTCTTGATTCCTCTCTCTGCGAGATACTGCTTGAAGTGTTGTGACTGGTATTCTCCTCCCCCGTCTGACTTCGCTTTTCGTGGCAATCGAGCATTCGCTTTTCATCGCTACTGGCTCCCTCGATTGCCATGCTTTTCAACTTCGCTCCGCATTCCCGTTTTGCTACTGGAAGCCAGGCGATGAAGGCTTCAAAGGCCATGTCCCGGCTCGGGAGGTTGAGGTGCCAGACGTATCGTGTGGCGGCGTCGATGAACGTGATGGTGTAGTTATACGCTTCTTGTCCAGGTTCGCGGTTGCTGTACACTTTCTCCAGTGGTGCGTTTGCTGGGGCACTCGGATTGTGGTGAGAGACGAACGGCTGATGCGGTAAGTCAGCTTCAGGGCAGGTGAAGCACGTTCCTCGAACTCGTTGAAGTTCTCTCCCGTCGTGTAGGAGCAGTGAGTCTTTGTCGAGTACTCCGGCTCTTATGGTGTTGTTTAACGTTGTGTTGCTTGGGTGTCCCATCCGTGCGTGCCAGATGTCTTCGCTGGCGCGATGTCCGGGTGAGCGCCTATACAAGTCGGAGTTGGAATAGAAACGGGCGGTGAAGTTGGCGCTTCTGTGAACTTCTCGTGGAGTGGGAGTCAGTTGTTGCGAGGGAGTTGGTGGTGTGTCGTCAATGACGGCCGATGCTGTTGAGGGACCAGCGATTGGTGCCGGTGGTGCTTCTGCTTTTGCCGATGTTGTCTCTCTGCTGTCGATGTTTTCTCTGCTGCTGCCGATGTTGTCTCTACTGCTGCCGATGTTGTCTCTGCTGCTGTCGATGTTGTCTCTGCTGCTGCCGATGTTGTCTGGATTGTTGCTCTCGTTCGTTTTGTTTCAGGCATGGTATGCGAATACCAGAAGCCTCCGGGGCTGAAGTCGGAGTCGAGATCTGGCGGGTGTGTCCAAGAGGTGAAGTTGACGATGGCGTCGCTGTCGGCGGTGCCTTGGTCTGGAACGAAGTCAAGAACAAAGACGTTGTTCTTCAAGACCGCCTTGCCGATGTAGAGTCCTCCTCTCCCGTGATACAGCTTGAACTCCTGAGTGGTGCTGTCTGCTTCAAGGTGAATACCCTTCGCCATCAACTGACTGACGTTGAGTAAGTTGTAGCCGAGGTTCTCCGCGATTAAGACCTTCGACATTTGCAGTATGACATTGGTTTCTCGTGACTGAAGTTGTACTATTCCTTGTCGTCGTGTGCGCAGGTTCTGGTAGTTGGGTGATGACGACTCCGCGCTGCAGTTGGTGTTCTCGTTGAACGAAGCGACCCGAGGAGCACATGTGCTGTCCGCAGCAGCTGTCCAAGAACCAGGTGTCTTTCCCGGACGGCTCGCTTTGGGCGATGGCTGCGTATGTCGGGTTTGGCTCCAGTGACTCACGGCTGGGAGTTCTCTCGTCGAGTAGCTCTTCTGGTGAGTAGTGTGGCGGTGACTCGGTGATGCAGGAGTCTGTGATTCTTGTCATGCAGCTCACGATGTTTCTTGTCCCTTGGTGCAGATTGCGTTGATGTCGTTGAAGACTGCGTTTGACTAGTGGGGTGTACTTTTGTGGACGCCACTTGACTGCTTGAAGGGCGAAGTTGACGTTGCGGTGGCGTTGACTGCTGCTAATTCGGGCAGTGTGTGCGAGGATGCCCTGACGTCTTGCAGAGGTGGCAGAACGGCGGTACGTGCCGTTGTGGTTCTGTTCTGCCGATTGTTATTATTGTTGTAGCGTCGTTGAGTGTGAAACGCAAACTCAGGTACTGACGTTTTTTTCTTGTGACGTTCTTCGTGCAGGTCCATGTCCTACTGTTTAGCGTGAATTTCGGCACAACAAGCTGCTTCGGAGGTCTTCCCGTGGGCTTGGAGAATGGGGGCCGAGGCCAGTGATGACGACAGTGACAAAGGCTTCTTCTGATATTGCTCCTCCGCATCGAAGGAGTCTGTCGCGCAGTCCGCTGCAGCGACTGATATACGCCATCCCCTTTTCGCCGGGTTTCATTTCCACTGTTGTCAGCTGTGCCATTAACTGACTCTGATTGACACTGTTTGTTGCTTGATACAGGTTCTTCAAGTGGCTGTATGCGAGCTCGGCGGAGTTGCCGTATCCCCGGTAAGACCGAATGTTCTGCTGCTCGTTCGGCGTTATGTTTCATAGCAGAATGTGTACGCCATTAACGATTGGTATATATACTACTGCTTGTCGTATTGTGTCCCGTGCGTTGGGTATGGCACGGAATCCAGGAATCTGCGCGCCTTCCATCATCAGCTCGAATTCGAAGGGCCATGTATAGAAGTTTTTTACGTTGAAGGGCGTTGATGTTCGCAGCTTTAGAACGTGCGCGAACTCCGACTGTATTTGAATCGCGTCTAACGTCTTCTCTTGTCCAGGTGCAGGTTGATTCGGCATGAAGCTGGTGGAGCCACGTTGAGGCTCGTACGGCGCAAAGGTAGGCTGCTGTTGGTTTCCCCGTGCATACGATGAACCATCGAGGCTCATGGGGGTAATCCCGTCATTATTGTTGTTGTTGCTTGATTGCGCAGGTGCTCCTTGCTGGTGTTGCTCGTAGAAGGCCATGAAGGAGAAGAACTTCTCCATCATGCTTGGGTCGAAGCCTGTCGTCTGGTTCGCAGTAGTTTCCGTAGATTCAGCTGCTGGTCTTGTTGCTATACCTCCCTCTGTCTGCAGGCCACAGGCTGGAGGTGGGGTAGGAGTGGTGCCGGGAGTGCCACTAGAGGGGGTTCTGTCCTTCTGTGTAGCCATGTCTTCTGAGATTGTAGAGTTTAAACGAAATGGAGGTCCCTTGACTTGCTCTCATACCATGTTGGGCTAAGAAAAGCCCTTAGGATCTTTCAAGGCTAGAGCTCCTGGTAGGAATGTTGTAATTGAGGAAGCGTTTTTAATGAGAAGTATTGAACCACCTTGCGCTAGTGTGTGAGGGCAAGATAGATTGATTTTAGTAAGAAAGTACAAGCTTTTTATGAGATTACAAGAGAATACAAAAGGTTTGACTAACTTCTCATTTGTAACTGCAATTGTAACTGCTGCTGTTGCGGTTCGATACAGTGACGACTCGGGCAACTGCTCAATATCGAAACAGTTGTTTGTCCTTGTTGTCACGCTGATTTGTCGAGTCAAAGGTCGCTGACCTTTGACCTTCGCGTAACCTCCAGAGGTTACGTTTTCTGTCAACCTCCTCGGTTGACTCGCCGTTGCTTCGCTGTAGTTTGTTTCGTTTACAGTTCGATGTTGCGACACACAAGAAGCGTTAAATCATTTGTTTCCAACAGCCTTGTTGCCATCTGCTTGTGCTTGGAATGTGTGGTGACTTCGTGATCCACCCTGAGCTTGCTTTGCCTTTCTTGACTGGTCTTGTGACCACTAGTTCTCCCCCACTTTGCCTATGGGGGTGTGTCAAACTACTACCGTATAGTTCCGGCTAGAAGATCCACCAGTAAGAGAGTCCCCCGGGACTCTTGAACGGGTAGGGGGACTCTTATTGTGGCAGATATTGTGAGGACCCCCCCTTGGCCTCTAATCATCATAAGACCCTCCTCCTTCCCTAAAGTGCCCTTTTCAATCTCATGAATTAGATGGTTAAACTTACACACACATCGCTTCACTGCCTTCTCCCTAAAACTAGACATTACAAGGTCAAAGTAACTAATCTAGCATTTTTCACTCCTGATAGTCCCATACGGTACATCTCTGCCACTCCCCTACTCCTCACTCTTTGTTCGCGTTCTCCTCCAGCCCACCCTCCTCCCCCTCCTCCGCCTCCTCCCCATCCTCCTCCTCCTCTTCCTCATCCTCCTCCTCATCCTCCTCCTCCTCCTCCTCATCCTCCTCCTCCTCCTCCTCCTCCTCCTCCTCCTCCTCAGGGAGGTCCCCGGCATCCTCGGCTTCCGCCACCTTTGCCGCCTCCGCGTCATCTGCGGAAGTTGCAAACAGGGGGTTCACCCACTCTTCCACTTCAGGGAGGACATGCACGTCCTCTACCACCTCGACCTCGCCCGCATCGCGCATGTGGGCCAGGACGGGGTGATCCTGCTTCCCGTCGACAGAGTTGCTGATTCCGGTGGTGAGAAAGGCCTTCTCGATGATGTGCTCGGGGACCGCAGCCCAAGCGGCCGCAATCCACTTGAGTGTCAGAATCCCAGCCACTAACCACTGGGATAAAAGGGCTTGTTTGTGTAGCGGGTGAGTGCGCCCATAACCCCCCAGGCCAACGTGCCTGTAACCCTTCCCTAGGATCATCGGGGATCACCAGTGGACCTCTGACATTGAGCACCATCTCGGCAGGGGGCTTCTTCAAGTTCCCTGCCACGCAGAGGGGACATACAGAAAGAAGCACGGGGGGAAACATGAGTATTTTACACAGACGGGTTACAACAAGCACACGCGTCACCGGCCCACTCACCGGCTTTCGTGAACGTGTTGATGCCGATCTCGGCAAAACACTCGTTGTACATCTCGCGCAGCAGCGCCTTGAATGAGCGGTCCACGCTCACGTCAAGGGGCTGCAGCAGAGGAGTGCAGCCCCCTAGGATGATGGCCGGGATCACCCGGTTCCACTTCAAGTTGGTGAGCACGCCATCGGTGAGGTGGCCCCGGTACGAGTCCAGGATCACCCAGTCATCCACAAGCTTGGCGTCCATCCATCCCTTGGGTTGTGCATGGACGACGACTCCTGCACATGAACGTTTATTGTGGTTAGACATCGCCCCCAAACCCGCACGAAACAGAAGCGTTTAACGGTTGCAACTCACCTGCAGGGACCCAAATCTTCGAGATTGTCTTGCGCTTAAAAATCACCATGGCAGGGAGTTTGCGGCCGTCAGCGCTGATGCCAAGCATCACCGTACCCCTCTCCTTCTCGTACCCCGCGCTCCTGACGTGCACCGTCTTCTCCCCGCGGTGATGAAGGGTGCGCTCGTTCGGCATCTCCAAAAACACCACCATTTAGTCGGCGTTTATGATGTTCCACGTGTCGATGTTGTGCTTGATGATGTTCCTGCGTGTGAACTCTCAAAACTCCATGCACTTCGGCTTGCACTCTGCCATGAACGCACAAGACAAGATTCATGTTGATGAGCCACGGGTGCGGGTATAACATCGCTGATACATGCATAACAGCACAAAGAGCATGCACTAAGAGACCGTGATACACACAAACGTCTTACCTTTGCGAGACGCTGGCCAATCTTCGTCTTCACGCGGATGGAGAGTCCCATGCGCGCACGGAATCGGTACGTCCACCTGTTGGACGCCATCCACCTCACGTCCGGGTAGTGGGCCTTCATGTAGACCCTGCTCCAGTGCTTGACAAGGCGGATCGGAACGGCCAAGCCACGGCCGCGGAAGTTTAGCATGCGCCTGTAGGCGTGCGCCTCCATGTCGGGGTACTTAGCCTTCCTCCCGCCACCGCTGAGGCGCCGCGTGGAGCGCTCTGCGTTTTTTATCCGATTCGCCGCCCGAATCCACCGCCGGACACCGACCGGTTGCACCCCCGCCAGACGTGCCGTATGGCGGATGGAGAGTTTATCCGCCTCCATCCGCGAGCCAGCCTTGTTTCTCACCTATCGTACGGGCCTTGCGACTGTGTGTAGAGGTGCGTGTCAACAGGACTAAGCAAGAAAATGTGTCATTGAATGGAAGAATTGGGTACAAGTAGCAAACCCTAGTTGGGGTTGTACCCCATACTGGCTACCCCACTACAGCCTACCAACATAACACAGTTTAACACACCCCCATAGGCAAAGTGGGGGAAAACAAAGGGTCACAAGACCAGTCTAGCAAAGCAAAGCAAGCCCAGGGTGGATCACAACGTCACCACACTCCGAGCACAAGCAAAGGCCACAAGGCCAGTTCACATGCAGTGCTAGATATAGTACAAGACAAGCAACACAGTGATCAAGACCTAGAAAGTAAGCAACGAGATATATATAAAGGACAGTACAAAGAAAGTCAAGCAGTAAGCAAATGAGGGAATGTGGACACAAGGCCTAAGGAAGTACAGTGCCGCTGATGATCACTAGGCGGGAGCGCCTTGGTGAAGATATCAGCAGTGTTGGCCTTCGAGTCCACGTACACAAGCCGAAGCTGACCTCGCTGCTGCAGCTCTCGAGCAAGAAAGTAGCGAAGAGCAATGTGCTTCGTCCTGTGCTCCAGTCTGTGCTCCTGACACAAGGCAAGGGCCGCCTTGTTGTCACCGTACAGAACTGGAGGAGAACTAGGCCGCTCTCCCAAGTCAGTCAGCAGGTAGGTGAGCCAGCGTAACTCCTGGGCAGCCATGGCTGTGGCGTAGATCTCAGCCTCACAACTAGAGCCGAGAACAGAAGAAGAGCGGGTGGACCGCCACGAGACAGAACCAGAGCCAAGGCTGAAGGTGTAACCCTGTGATGACCGCTGAGTAGCCAGGTCGTCCACCCAAGAAGCGTCCGAGTGGCCAGTGAGGACAACTCTGTCGCGTCCTCCAAGCACCAGCCCCATGCCTGATGTACTGCACAAGTAGCGCAGCACCCTCTTAGCAGCCTCCCAGTGCTCTCGCCTGTGTCTCCCAGGCGCAACGTAACGAGCAAGGATGCTAAGAGGGTACGCGAGGTCAGGTCGCGTGCAAGTCATCAGGTACATGAGGCAGCCCACAAGCTCTGGGTACGGGCCACTCGGCTCTACGGACTCGTCCGGAGGTGGAGCTGAGAGCGAGTGGCTGGTAGCCAGAGGTGTGGCCTGTGGTGAGGAGAACTGGAAGCCGAAGCGCTGAAGGACCTGCTGCACCATGTGTGACTGAGTCAGGGTGATGGTGCGGCGAGCTCTGTCCCGGGTGATCTGCAAGCCAAGGTAGCTACGCAGCTCACCCAGGTCAGTGCAGGTGTGTCTCTTCTGCAGCTCCGACTTCACACGAGCGAGTGCCTCAGTGTCAGCAGTAGCAAAGACCAAGTCGTCGACGTACACGATGATGTAGAACGGCGGCAGCGAAGTGTCGGTGCGCAGAAACAGCGACGGGTCAGCAGTAGACGGCGCGAACCCAAGAGCCGCAAGTGTAGTCCTCAGTGTGTCGTGCCACTCGCGTGGCGCCTGGCGGAGACCGTAGACTGGCCGGCGGAGGCTCCACTGGGTACCAGGAGGAAACGACCCAGTAAAGCCAGGTGGGCGGCGCAGCCAGATCTCCTGGTAGCCAGGCTGCCCTGCAGGAACGCTGTGCTGAAGTCAAGAGAGTGAAGCTCGTAGTCACGCTGAGCAGCAACGTGCAGCAGAACCCGAAGAGTGGTCATCTTCGGGGTGGGGGAGAAGGTCTGGAAGAAGTCGACCCCCTGACGCTGACTGAAGCCTCTAGCAACGTAACGAGCCTTGAAGACAGGCGGAGAACCTGGCGGCCGCTTCACCCTGAAAATCCACATGCCATCGACGATGTTCGCCCCAGGAGGGGGAACCTCGTCGACGTAGGTGCCTGTGGACTTCCAGGATGCCATCTCTGCGTCCATGGCTGTCTGCCACTGAGAGGAGTAGGGACCCGAGATCGCCTCTGCGTAAGTGCGCGGAGTGGGGATGTCTAGTGCATCCGGGTCTCCCTCAGGGGCAAGCAACCAGGCCACGAGATGAGGTACAGCAGCCGCGAGAGAGTCAAAGTCCTCCTGCCTGTCCTCAAGGACGTCCGTGCCAAGAGCACACTCACCCCCGACAGACGGAGGACAGACAGACGCAGACTCAGACCCAGCAACAAGGCGAGCAGCGTAGTCTAGACGACAGGCAGCAGCAAAGTCAACCAACTCAGCGACCAGAGCAGACGCAGCCGAGGACTCAAAGGTAGGGTCAGTGACAACAGTAGCTAGGAGACGCGTGACAGTAGGGTGCTCAGCACGATACCGGTCAGACTCAGGGTCCGGAACAGCAGGCAAAGAGGACGCAGGAGGAGACAGCAGAGGGACACGCTGAGGAGCAGTAGAGGGACGCAGAGTCATGTAGTGAGTGCCTGGGACAGGAGGAGGACGCTCACGACGGACACGACGACCAGTGCGAGCAGTACGGACAGGCGACGCAGGACGAGACTCAGGCTCACGACGCTCTGTAAGACCTCCTGTGGGACCAGTGTAAGGAGAGGGAGCAGGGAGAGGCGAGGCAGGCGGTAACTGTGACTGCGGCTGGACAGTCGGAGGACACTCTACGGAGGGAGGAGGACAAGGAGGAGGAGCCTGCCCAAGAACCTGCTGAAGGAGTGGTACGAAGTACGGTCGCGGCTGCGCAGCGTCTCCAGAAGCAGAAGAGACTCCAGCGTCCGGGTCCCCAGCACCAGCAGCAGCGCCACCGCTCGGGTCCTCAGCTCCAGCAGCAGCTCCACCAGGTGGGTCCGCAGCACCAGCAGCAGCACCACCCCCAGGGTCCGCAGCACCGCAAGGAAGAGCACCCCCAGAGTCGGCAGCTACAACTCCGCTAGCGCCGCCAGCTCCAGAGTCCCCAGCTCCAGCAGCTCCAGTCGTAGTGCTCCCAGAACAACCAGTCCCGGCAGCTCCAGTACCCCCAGCTCCAGCCGAGCCACTAGGACGGCGAAAGCGCCGGACGTACCAGTCACGAAGCTGCTGTGGTGTGAGAGACTGCTCAGCACCCCGAACCGGAGCACCCCCAGACGCAGCAACCCGAGGCTCCGTAGGCTCAGTAGCAGCACCCCCAGGCTCAGTACCCGCAGGCGCAGCACCCCCAGACTCAGCACCCCCAGACTCCGCACACGCCGGCTCAGCACCCCCAGTCGCAGCACCCCCAGGCTCAGCACCCCCAGGCGCCGAACTCTCAGGCACAGTACCCTCAGCTCCAGCACCCGTAGTCCCAGCACCCCCAGGCCCAGCACCCGCAGGCTCAGCACTCCCAGCAGCACCACCTGCAGCAGCACCTGAGTCACCTGTGACCTCGACAGGCTCAGCGACGGGAGGAGGGTCTACCTGAGAGACACCTGAAGGAGCAGGACCCTGAGGGGGAAGGGGGTCTACCGGAGGGGGACCAGGAGCAAGGAAAAGCGGCGGGGGAGGGAGGGGGGCAGTACGGTAGGGGAAGAGACGGTAAAAAGGGACCGACTCGTCAAAGGTGACGTCCTGAGAGGCGAAGACCCGGCGCGAGGTGGGGTGGCCCGGCGCGTCAGGGACAAAGCCAAGGAAGACACAGGGAAGCGTGCGGGAGGAGAGCTTGTCCGCGGACGTATCGCGGACAAGGGCACGAGCACCCCACACCCGGAAGCGCGACGCATCGCCAACCTCCCCCGTCCAACGCAGTGTGGGCGAGGTCTCCGGCAAGGAGACACGGGGCCAGAGGTTGAGCTGATGCGCGGCGTACCGGACAGCAAACGGCCACAGAAAATGGGGAGCCGCCGCGTGGACCAAGGAGGTACGAGCGACCTCCATGACCAGGCCAATGCGGCGCTCAGCAACCCCATTCTGCTGTGGGGAGTCCGGAAGCGTGAAGGTCTGCTCGATGCCCTCCGCCTGACAGAAGGTCCTCAAGAGGTCGGAGGAAAACTCACCACCTCTGTCAGAGTGCAGACGCAGGACAGGAAGATCCGTCCGGAAACGGCGGCGGAGCTGGAGACGAACTGTGCGGATCCAAGGGATCAGAACAGCAGGGACCTCACCCTTGGTGCGCAAGGGGAAGACCGTGGTGTAACGCGAGTAGT